CATGGTCACACTCTGGAGACAGAGAATAGGCAAGAGAGGGCTTGTTTTTTGGAGGAGAGAGGGGGTGTTTTGTGGGAACAGCGAGCAGCTATTTTTTATTCTGTTTTGACAACCCAAATTTGTTTTTATCCTGTGCCAAGTAATGCTCTGTAAGCTCTCTGACAGCGGGTGTCTGGATGTGAGCAAGGGAAGAACAACATGCTTGAGAAGGGCTTGATATACAGCAGGGATTTGCTTCATCAGATGCTCTTGTGACGAGGCGAAAATGCTGGTAATCCATTTAGTGCATTAGAACGGAAATGCTACTTAATGACGTTGTGCAGAGAGAACCGTGGCCCGTAATAACTCAGCTCAGCCCAATGTCCTCTGAACCTTGTTCGCAGGAGCTGCCTTACAGCGAGCTGGCAGGCTGTAGTGAAGCAGGAACAGGCTGTACACGCTGAACTTGCACTCTTCTACCTGAGCATCTGCTTCTGCCCTCCATCATAAAGAGTAGACTACACTAGGTGGACCTCATATCTCGCCTCATAGAGCTGCTATGATGGGTATCGACATCTCAATGTTTTCATTAGAGAAAAGGGTTAAACAGCCCCAGAAACTGTATGTATATATTTTTGCTGAATAGCATGCAGAAGGGGGGAGACACCAAGCACGTGGCTATTTCCGATGCACGCCATTAGACTGCATTTACACTAGCTAACTCCAAGTGTGGAGACATCAAAGCTAAAGCCACAGCATACAATGACCTCTAGTGAGGGATGGATAAAATAACATATGTCAAGGATCTCTGCTTCTTCTCTGTGCCATCTACTTAAAGGCAGGCTCTTGGCACTCCACAGTGCAGTTTAAGATCAGAGCACATAGGGAGAGACAGTGCTTGCCTTTGGATAAATATAGCTTGGCTTGTTGGACCTTTCTCCTTAACGGTGATAAGCGTGATCAGGTTGCTCAGTGGACTTTGGTTTATTCTTTTGTAAATGTTAATGGATCAGAAACTTAGACCGATGCTTCATTACAGCACTACATTTAAGTTTTTGGAGAGCTTGGTACACTTTGAAAGGTCATGAATAGAATGAATGTTTATTTAGGCCAAATGACTGATCATGCCTGCGCAGGTGGGGATGTGTTCTGGCAGCAGCGTGGGAAGGTGAATCAGGCAGGACAGTTGTCTGCTCGACCAGTTTCCCCCACGTGGGCTGGTACTGCTGTTGCTTGTAAAATTTGAGACTGGAGGACAGTTTGTCCAGTGCGGACAGAGAAAAGTGACTAGGAAATGGTGACAGTGCGGTGGCTCGTGATCAGCCCGTGGCAAGGGCTGAGTTTCAGTGTGGCTCCTTTGCCAAATAAGACTCGGGCTCAGAAAATCTGTGGCACATTCCCTTAGGCCGTGTGAGCTCTCCTGTGAAAATGAGTAGGGGCAAGCCCAAGCAAAGTGCTGGCAGCTTCTGGGAGGGGGTTCAGCTCTTGCCTAGCTGGACACCACCAGGCTGCTTAGGTTCATTACATTGTGCTGTTTCTTGCCCCTCAGAGAGGCATTTCTCATGACGGGACTGTTCATACAAGCTGTTCGCCTAGCTTTCCTTGAGCTTTATCTCTTGCTGAACAAAAGCCTGAAAAGGACTGTCCTGCTCTGTCTTTATCCTTTGTTTCCCCAGGGAAACAGATGTTTCCCTGAACCATCCCCAGATGTTTCTTGCACAAGCTTTACTGATGCCCATGGGAAGTAGGTAATTGCCTGTATACTCGTCTCTGGATAACCAAAGTCTCTCTAGGAGTGCCTTGCTGAGAGTACTTCTGGCACAAGTTAAGGGGCTCTTACTTGTCAGTTACTCCTCAACAGCAGCTTCACGAGGCTGCCTTGACATAAGAAGTACCAGGAAGATTAGTGGTCAGTACTCTGCCTTCAGAAGGATGCCTTCAGCTTGTGAAAGGGGTGGAGAGAAATGTAGCCACCACCCGGGGATGCAAGAGCTGGCTAGTCATAGGGAACTAGCGTTTGGTGTGCAGGTGGCATTGGCAGATACAAGTCTTGGCCCTCCTGGAAGAGCACGCAGGGGATATAGAAGGAAAGGGTGTTCTTTAGCCAAGAGGATGCTGAAGTGTGAGGGGTGTTTACGTGGGAGGTGAGCACTGTGGTGTGAAATTTGTGCTAACCCACCAGGTCTGGAATTTCTGAGTGGGGAGGGAGGGAAGGTGAGTTGTGACATGCAGAGGTGTTTGAAATACCAGTTTGCTGCACTGGGGGGATGTTGTCTTGTGGGCTATCCTACTTGGGTTTTTTTTCCTCTTTTGGCTTTCTGAGAGAGAAGTAAGCCCCTACATAGTCCCCCATCTGGAAACAGTGCTGCTTGTGTATTAAGAACCACCTGTGAGCTCAGCTTTCCCAGCGAGCATGTGAGCTTCCTGCCACAGACCGATGTGTGGGTGCTGCTGTTGTTTCTGAAACAGACACTATCCTCTGCTCAGCTTTCTTCCCACGTGCGATGAGAACAAGCCTTGCTCCAAGGTAGTACTGTGTAGCTGGAGATCGTTGTGTTACAGGTTCTCACCTCATTCTTACTAAGGTCTTTAGTTGTAGGGAGGGAAGACTTAAAGGAAGAAAGGTAATTTTGCTAGTTCTTTTCCCTTCCCTACCACCAGCTTTGGTCACTAGAAGATCCTGTGCCTCTGCACGTTGCAGACAAGCCTAGCCTAGCTGCTGCATGTTGTCATGTCACCCCAATCAGTGCAGAACGTAGGCAGCCCATGCAAACCCTGCTACAAGTGCAAAGAACACCGTTCCTCCACAGGCTGTGGGGTGACTGTGACTGCTGGGGTGTGCTCGGGGACTAAGGGAGTATGATCTTTCTGAAGAAATAAAGCGAGCACTGGAAATGCTCCCTGGAGATATGTGATACCAAAGGCATACAAGGGGCAGCCAGGACTGGCTTGAACCCTGATGGGTGAGGCTGGGGCATGGCTTGGCATACTTCAGTGGCACCTGAAACAAGGGTCGAGGCATTCTTTATGTGGGGAGATGCTTGCTTCTTTCTTAACACCCGGCTGGACTAGGAGCAAAGTGCCTGGCACTGGGAACAACTGATAGTACTAGGAACAGTAGAGGAACACGAGCAATTAGGCTTTCTGGGATCTATGGGTTTAATAATAATGATGTACCTATATTCAGGAGCAGGCTCATACTAAGAAATCATGGTGATATCATTCTTTCCTGAGTGACAGGCACTGAACTCTCTGATTAGGTTTCTAGCTCGACTTGCCATCGGTAGTAACTGTGGGCTGTTACACAGCACAATACTGCTGAGAGCACGAGGGCAGGACTCTGGACAGTTTCCCCTAATATCTTTAAGTTTAACAAGGGCAGCTCCTAAGCCGTGTTCTCTGTTTTTCCAGGTCCGAAGAATGGTTGGGGCTCTAGTTGCAGTTGGGCAGGGAAAGTTAACACCTCATCATATAAAGGAGTTACTGGAGATAAAAGATTCACGGGCTTTTCCATCAAATGCCATGGCTCCGCCATCTGGACTCTTTCTAAAATCAGTGGAATATAATGAAGCAGGTAGGTGAATGCAGGGAATGGCATTCTTTTTGCAGGAGTTAGATCTAATACTGAAGGGAGCAGTAACACCCACGGTCTTCCTTTATGTGCCATCTGACCTATGGCTCACAGCTTTGTCCAGTGACACCCACATCACAGTGAGTGCCCCGGACTGTAGAGGTGTTTACAGCAGTTGCTATGGAAAAATCGTGTGGTTTTTTTTCCTGGTAGATTTCCTCCTCCTACTTGCAGAGTAGTAAAAGAGAAGTTGTGTTGACGATGACTTTGAGATCTCACATGAATCATATTTTCAATTCTCATAAACTCTTGTTCTGTCCCTGACCATGTATAGAGACCAAACCGTCTGTGGTATCTAGGTGCCTACAGACCCGTTTCTGTTCACTCGCTTCTCCCTTGGTATTTTTGAGAGGATTGTACGGACTGGGGGACAGGGAACAGATCATCCTTTTGCTTATATGGTGGCTCTCTTAATTTAACAGCATCTGATCTGAGCTATTTAAGTTTTGTAGCTTAAAAAAAAAAGGCGGGGGGGGCAAATTTGCAGAAGATAGCAAATGGATGTCATGGAAGTTTGACATCCCTGCTAGGGATAGCAGGTATTTAAAACTGCAAGGATTAATCTGTCTCTGATTAATCCAGTGCCCATGAAATGTGGATAGAAAGGACTTTCCACCACACTGCAGACCACCTCCAGGCTGCCTTGTCTCAGCCAGACCGCAGACCTGCTGCAGGTGGGCTTAGAGCATGCTCTCTCCTGCAGCAGCGGCGCACACACTGGGGCTTAAAGAAGACAGAAGGGAAAGGGAAGCAACAAAGAGCAGTGCGAGGAGCTTGAGTGTAGTTCTGAGCGCTTGGCCTGGCCTTGAAAAGGCAGCTGCTGCTTGCTGGTTTTGGCCCTCTCGGATGGTGCTTTTCCTAATAGTGCTGGGTGTGGAGCTGCCTGTGCCAGTGGGGAGGGAGCCCACACGGGAAATGAAGACCACAGATTTTAAGTGCTTTCAGGTGGTTTCAGTGCCATCTTTTTCCCTAAATCAATGTTTTCTCTTTTTCCTCTCAGATTTGGACACTACAATTGCCCCAGGAGAATAGCAGCTCTATGAGCTACAGCCACGTCTGAAAGGACTGTTGTTGTGGATGGAGGTTTGCCAAGCGCTCTCTACACAATACACGGTCTTGTCTCAATAAAAATCATAGACTGTGACTGTAGGCATCTTCCTATCATTTGTTCTTGCCCTCTGAGACTGCCAAGGGGAAAGGAAGAGCGACCCGATGCTGCTTTCAGATAACTGCTTTTTTTTTCTTTTTTCTGAAATTCTGGTGCCTGTCTCTCAACCAGGAGGAGGAAGGAGTGGGGCTTGGGTGTTTTGGGTTTCCTTCTTTTTTATTTTCCTTCTGTGGTGTGTGTGGGAGGGATACAGGCTTAGAACGGAGGAGAACGTAGCATTTCCTCTCTGCCCCTCTGCTCTGTAACCCTGCCTTTGTACAGCATAGTGCAAGGGACAACTGTCACTGTCTGATGCAGTGACTTACAGAAACAGCCTTTGAAAGTACTCGCCGTCTCCTCTCCTCATCAACAGTCACTCTCTTACAGAACTGTAGTAGCTTTTACATTATCCTGTTCCCTGGTACAAAGCCACGTCTGTTGCACTTAGGCTGTGGCATGCAAAGTTCCTTTGAGGTCACTTAAAACCTGTTTTAATGGTCACAGCCTGGGCTAGTAGCACAGGAACAACTATATGAGTGAGTCAGCCTAATTGTGAAATGAAGCACTTTGGGCAGCGGAGGCTCTGTCGCCCGAAGGTGGCTGCCACACTGTTGCTGGGCTCTGATTTGCTTGTGGCTGCCTTCTGCTCTTCCACAGTTGTTGGTGCAGCAGAGCGGGTCTGTCAGTGACCTAAGGGCTTGTGAATCATAGTGCAGAGAGAACTCTTTCTTTTTTTTTTTTCCCCCCGCCCCCCTAAACCACTCCAATCTCGGGTTTTGCAAGCTTGCCCAAGCAATAAAATACAAATTGGGTAACTTGTGGGGTTTTTCCTCATGAATGACACCAGAATCTCTGTCTGTTTTGGTTATAAAATGACTGTTAGAGTGCCAGGTTACAAGAAAGAGGATGAAAATTTTGACTTCTGAAGTTCACAGAAGAGACAATACCTGGTTTAAACACTCTCCTGCAGTGAAGCAACGTGCAGCTGAGATGCCTGGCACCACCACAATTAATCTCCCCATTGTCCATGAGAGGAGGAGAAGAATTGCAGAGAAAGCCAGTCTGTCAGAGCAGACAGCCCACTTGATCTGGTAAGAGAATGTTCTCCGTTATGTGGCGGTTCAAAGTGATGTAGACTATTGCGTTCAGATGAATAAAGGAAGAATCTTAATAACCTTTTGAGAGACTGTAGAGTTTCCACTCTCTGTCGGCATGGTGAAGAGCCACAAGGTAGGCAGAGGGGGAGGCAGCAGTTCTTTTTGACCTCTCTTAAGGCCACCCTTGCCTTTGGCAGTGGGGATCGAGTTAGTGAGTGGTCCTGATACGGAATAGGAGGACAGCCCATGTCTAGGTGTCCCCTCATGAGAAGTGACGCATCTCTTCCCCGCTCTGTTCCAGCTAGCAGTTTTGCCAGAGACCTGCTTTTGATAGCATGGGAAGGAAAGGCGAGATGCTTCTGGTTACTCTCTCCCGTCCCATGCAGCATGCTGACTGCTGGCTGCTTTATTCCCTCGGGGACTAATTTCCAAAGACCATGACAGAACTTTGGAGGAGTCCTGGGTCTCTACCGTGGAAAGGAGAGCTGGAGCTGCTGTGTTGCTAGTGTGGTACCCGTTTGTGCTTTTCTGGTACAGCCTTGCTGGATAAGTACCCAAAGGCAGGGATGCTGTAACATGCTGCAGTGATTTTTCAACACAAGCAGTGGGGCTTGTCCGTCTGTGTTCCAAACCCTGACATGCCCATGTGTTTTTAGACAGCGGTTTGCCTGAAAAGGAATGGCAGCAAAGTCTTGCTCTTCCCCGCTTTGAGGGGAAGTGAGAGTGCAGCTACAGGCCCATTTCAAAGCGTCTCAGACTGAAGCACTGGTACCAGGTTTCAGAGAGGCTGGTCTTGCTCTGCAGACTGCGGGGACTGGAGGGCCGGGCAGGCTGGAGGTGATCAAGGGTGGCTTTGGGTGGGAGCATTGTGCCTCCCTCTTACAGTGGATAGATGGAGAGAACTAAAGCGTGCACTAGTGCCTGGCTGTGCGCTGTGCTCTCTCCCCAGTTCTGTGGGAGGACGCTTCGCTAGCGGGGCAAGTGCTGTGTCTTGGATCCGAGTGACAGCTTTTCATCTTCGCTTCCTGTGGTTTCTCTCTGTAGAGCAATGTGGGAGAGCTCTGCAGGGTGTCTCGCAGGGCAGTTTGCTCTGGTGTTAAAACTCTACGCAGAAGAGCTTAGCGGTGACCTCGTAGTTGTGAGGACTCTGGAGAGGCTGCGGCTTTTGCATGAGATGGTGATCTGAGCTCTGGTAAGTTAACTTTCTAACTAAACGTATTATGAGTCTTTACAGGGCAGAAAACCCTGTAAAAGCAGGCTCAGGCATCGCTGCTGCTTTTTTTTTTTTTTTTTTAATAGTTGCAGTGCAAAAATACCTGCTGTTGATGGTTCTGCAAATGTTTCCCAACTTCTGGTTACAATAAAAACCTATTGCGCTTATGGGCTTGTTATCAAACCCAGTAACTGAGCAACCCAGGTTCAGCTATCCCGACGGTGGTCTAGAAGTAGACTGACTGGCTAACCCTGCAGTTGGCAAAGAACTGTTGTGGGTTTTTGCTTTGTTTTTTAAATCCCAGAGCAACTGTTAAAAATAACCTAAAGACATTTACTTAAAGAACATGCTCTCTTAGCATCATAAAAGATACCATCAGTAGAGAACTTTTTTACAGACTCCTAGTCTGAATTGGTTTTTTGGTGTCCATCGTTAATACTTGTTGTTTTTATCAAGGGGTATTTAGCGTCCTTTTCCTTTTTATGTTGTCGCATTACTCGCTCTTTCAGTTGATCCCATTTGGGCATCCAATACATGTGATGCTTTAAAACTAAAAGCAGAAAACTTAACGCTTGACCAGTGTTCAAAGACTCGAGCTTGGTTTTCTACGAAAACATTTCTAATAATGGGGAAACGTTGATGTATGCTTTTCTGTGTTTTTGTAAATCCAATAACTTGGTACAGAAACAGAAGTTCAGTGGTGCTTTTTGGTTGTCTGGAAGAAATAACAGCCTCCCTTCCCCCCCAAAAAACCCAACCAAACGACAAAACAGCCCTGGGGAAGCAAAGCTGAACGTGGAATTTGATCAGACTCCATACTTTTAAAATGGTAGATAAGTAAATGGTACGTTATTGTAAGAGATGGAAGCGGCTGTGTACTTGGAAAATACAGTTTAGTCATAAACTCTGTCACTTCTATTACCTCTCACAGGGAATGAAAATAACTCAAACAGATTGATGTACGTGGTGGGGTCCGGCAGTGCGTATGTAACTGTTTGGAACTGGGTAGAAGACCAACTTGTAAAAGACTCGTACAGTACTCCATGTCAGTGATTTATTATTTCCCCCCACCCCTTCCACCGTTCCTTACTTCTGCTGTAGTTGAGCTTAAAGGGGTTCACGTTACTTGATGGGCCACATCTAGGGCTGGTGAGCGCGAGCGGGTACGAGCCTCCCTGTGAGAGGCTCCCTGTTACTTCCCAGCAAGTTGAGGTATCAGCTTTGCCCACTGTCCGCTCCAAGAATGTAAGACATAATGGGGGATCCTCTTGCAGACGGGGAGGGATTGAGGGGATTAAGTGAGACTACAGGTGCTGAAAGCCAGTGGTATTAGTGTAGTGTCGTGGTGCAAGCAGCTTCTGTGCCTCTGGCAGGGCCTTGTAACCATACCGCCGGGGATCTGAGTGGAAGCAGTTTCAGGCAGTCCTTTAGCAAGACTCATTTTGCCATCTCACAGCCGCCAGTCAGCGTTAAGCATAGAGAAACTCTTGTGTCTAGCTTCTACAGAATCTTGGGACAATGTATGTGCTGTTTGGAAAAACTCCTTCTGCTTGTTTTGGAGCCGCTACCCGATAGTGCCTACGGCTGTCCTTAACTGCGCTTGTCCTGTGAGCAGCAGTAGCTCATCGGTCCCCTTTGCCGTCCTGCCCCTTTAACGATTTTACCGGCCTCTGCCTTATCTTTCCCCGTTGCGACACTGTACTTTGAACCTAGAAAAGGTAGATGTTTGGTGGCTCTTGCTCTGGCAAAACTCTGAGATATAAAGGTTGTTTCAAGTCCTATGCTGCTTAAAGTTATGGCTTAGCCATGCCTGGTTTTGTATTGATTTTCCTGTGTGTGTGTGTACAAACCCTTTGCTATTAGGTGAAAGACCCACTTAAGGAGGTATGTATGCTTACCTACTTAAAGTGAAACCATTTTTTAATCTTCCAGTTATCTTCTTGGGTGCTTTTGACTTCGTTAGACAAACAGCTATTGGGAGGAAGTGTGAATTCAGAGCTTCCTTTGGAAAGTACCCAACGACCTTTGTATCTTTTCGCTTTTGATGGCTCAACTTTATGAATGTTGCGCATGCTGTAGCTGGGTTTAATTTCTCTGCTGCTTTTAAGGGCTTCTGTTTGGGTGTCTATGTTTGGCTTAGGTACTCAGATTTCTTTTATGTTTGACGGAGAGAAGCTGCACTGCTGGAGTGCAGTTTATTGCTACGTGATGTGAGGGACCTAGACGAGGAGTCCTACTGGTACAGCGCCGCTTTCCCATATTGCAAACACACAACTAGTCCTTCAGGCTCCCTCTGTAACGGAGACGAGTGGTGGTTTCTCTCTGCCATGTGCCTGCAGAGTAGGTTCAGGGTGCTGTAAATTCACCCACCAGCTTACACCGAGCCTTCCCACCTGCATATGCACTTCAACTAAGGTATAAAGGCCTGGGTGGGAAGGATGGAAAAAACCCGTTTCTCTTGGATTGTCTGCGTGCACATCATCAGGTCTCACGATGACCTAGGACAAGGGACCTGGCCCATCTTGTCTGAAGCGCTGAACCCTTCCATCTGCTGTCGTGTTACAGTTGTCGCCTATGCTATTGACGATCCACCCTGAACCACGCCTAAACGGGGGCGGGGATGGTGCCGCTGCTTTGATTTGGTTACACCTTGGTATGGGTGCCAGCTACCTGTTGCAGGTCTGTGCTTTAAATACTATTTCTTAATTTTAACAGGAAGGTTCCACGCATGCTCTTTATAAAACTGCAGCAGCAAGGTTAAAACAGGTCAGTCACAGAGAGGACTGAGTTAACTGTCACACCGAGTAACTGAAAAAGCAGTCCTGCTTGTATTTTTGCCACTACTGCTTCTCTTTTTTCCTGGGAAGCCTGCACAATCCATCACTGCAGTTTTTTAAGGACGGGATAATGACATCATATATCTCTCAGAAAGACACAGGAATTCTGGTAGGGCTTAGGAATGGGAAATTAATTACAGGACCTCCAAAGGTGTATCACTGCTGAAGCTCTCCTGTACTGCTTCCATTGCTGGCCCACCCTTAGCCAAAGCTATAGCCTTCTACGTGGTTTTCGTTTGGTTTTTTTTTTACGGGGAGGACATCGCTACCTGTTAATTCAGTATTGTCATCTCGTGATGATTTTAATGCCAGTAAATAATCTGTCTATTGTGTAAACTTCAAATGCTTGTGTTTAAAATGATTTATTCTCCCTTACAGCAACACTGCTTTCCACCTAAACATACCAAGCGCAGACCTCTGAGCCACAGACTTCACCAGACTGAACATCGCTCAGTTGTGCAGCTTCAGCTCTTACCCACTTGAGGTGAAATAAAACTCAAGAACCTCCTGAGGTAAGGGATAGCTTAAGACTTTTACCCTGTGTCGGATATCCCTGCACTCCAGCAATCATGGCAGATGTTTCCTTGACTGAAGGAGTCTCCAGTGAGACAGTTGCTAATGCCAGTTCAGAATTCAGCTTGGAAGCAGACTTCCAGTATTCCTTGTTTACTGTGATCTACAGCCTTGTCTTCGTGCTGGGACTGACAGAAAATGTCTTAGCTCTGTACCTCCTGTCCTGCAAAGTAAAGCACGCTTCTCATTCCTACGTATACATGATTAACCTAGCTCTGGTAGACACCTTGTTTGTTTGTGTGTTGCCTTTTAAAATTCATTACCACCTGAATCGGAACAATTGGACCTTTGGTGACATGGCTTGTAGGATAACTGGGACTCTGTACTATATCAATATCTATCTAAGCATTGCCTTTTTCACCTGCATTTGTGTTGATCGCTACATCGCAGTGTTGCACCCCTTCACTTACGTCCAGATCAAAGTCATCCATTATGTGGCGGTGGTCACCGTCCTTTGGGTGGTTGCTCTATGCGTCATGGTTCCACTTATCCTTGGAGGCCCCCTCCACAGCAGTGGTGCGAGGAACACGACAGTGTGTTTTGAGAACTTTGCTACGCGTAGCTGGACTTATCGCATGGCACCTTACAACATCCTGGCCTTAATTTTTGGTTTTGTGATCCCATTTTCCATCATTCTGATCAGCTACCCCCTCATTGCGAAGAGGATCTCCCAGATCAAACAGAGCATTCACAAGAGGAAGGCCCTGCGCACCATCTACATCATCTTGGTCATTTGTACTTTGTGCTTTCTCCCGTACCATCTCACTCACTTGCTCCACTTTTTAATGAGAATCCGGGTCATCCAGAATAAGTCATTTACCATCTTGATCTACAAAATGCGAAGGGTCACCTTAGCCCTCGTGAGTTTCAACTGTTGCCTTAACCCACTCTTGTACTACTTCACCTCTTCCAGCAAGCGATGGCACTTCAACTTCAGGCTCAGATTCAGGTCTAAAATGGTGTACACAATCAGTGACCAGAAATTTGGGGAGTCCTCCTATGTTTATAAACTACAACAGAGACATGGAAATAAAAAACACGGAGATGGACTCAACTGATCTACTTAAAGTAAGTACAGTATTCATCTTTCCAACTGTGTCTTTGAAAACAAACTTGTGAAACCTACCGTTCTTTCATACAGCGGTTGTTACGTCAAGGCTAGGCTGGAGGGATGTGGCTAACAGCTATATATTTTTATTAGCCGACCAGGACGGTACTTGGGGGAGCTGTATTCTCTGGCGGTCCTAGAGAGCACGTGGTGAAACGTGCTGTGTTCGTGTACATCGATGTTTTTGGTCTCCTTTTGTTTAACTTTGGGGTTGGTAGGAGAACACGGGGCTCTCTTCTGGAAGGCAGTACAGCCCAGGGAAGGGTTACTTGAATGAAACCAGCCTCCTAACTGACACTAACTGCGGAAAGCGGAGCGGATCAGGGCAGTCCTGCTTGGCTTTTCCCTATTTTGGAGGGATCCTGTGTTTTCTCCCCGGGGGCACACTGTAGCCAGCTGGGTTCACAAACTGCTTTCTGCCTACATTCCACAGCCAAATAAGGGCTTCTCGTCCCTTCTTGTGAATCAATCGATTGGCTTCCTGAGGAGCATTTCGGTACAGGGTTTCTAGCGTTGCATGCCTACGGATTCAAGCTGGACATCTCTTAATGCAAGTTTAGAAAATAGATCTAAGTATTTATCAGTCGGTTAACCCTGTGCAGGAGCAGTGGTAAAGGGGCCCTTCTTGCCACACAGTCATTGAGGGAAGTTACCGTCGGAGCTGGCACAGCTCCTTAGGCTGCGCCGTCCTGTTCAAATGTCAAAGCTCTCTTTTCAGTCATTGTAATTGTATGACAAAACGTATCTATCTATCAGACCTATTTCAATCTTTCTCTTATATTGACAGAACCACACAGCTGCTGAGGACTGCTGCGTTTTCCACCCTGTGAAACACGAGACTGTAGAGAGAGTTTATCATTTGTGGGTTATCATCAGAGACACCAGAAAACCACCGGCCTGGCTGACAAACCTGCTTAAAAGCCAGCAATTAACGGGATGTGGTTTTTGGTAACGGATATACAGACTCACCGTTCTGTTCCTTCCCATGCCACCCCCAGACTTTATGAAGTGCATATATGCTCTTGGCCTGTAGGCGTGCAAGGCTGCTGAGCAGATGAGAACAGAAGAGAAGTTGTCCTGGGGCTTGTTCAACAGGGAACAAGGTGTGCCTAACTGGCAAAATCAGTATTTCCATTTCCAAATGTGCAAAATGCAGGCTAAAAGTCACGCGTTGACCTGGCACACCGCAGCAGGTGGGTGGGGTTCCCGGGTTGTGCTGTGCTATTGGACTTGGAACAAGAACTGCCACGGACCTTAAAGGAGGGGGGGGGAGTAGGATTCTTGTGGCAGAATGGTGTGGGGAGATAAACGATCGTGTGTCTCTATATGATGTAGTAACTTCTCTTTGCACAACAATGGATGTTGCACCTTCTGCCCATATTCAGCCAATTTTCTGATGGCAGCCGATGCCACAGTCTACTCTGTGGTTAAGGACAGGAGGCAAGAGGTTTGGAAAATAAGAAGCATGGGTGTAGGGGTGCACTGGGGTCTCGGTTTGTGGAAAAAACCCACGCATGCTGATGGTAAGCAAGGGTCTTGAATTTGGGAGGCCGTATTGGATCAGTTAAAGCCAATCAATAAACCACTGTAGCAATCTGAGATGTATGCAGCAAGCAAACCAAGAGCAGATCTGAAATTATTATAATAGAGCTAAAGCTTTGTAATCGATGGCTTTTGTGGGCACAGTATTACATTTGTTTGTTAGGAGGGGCCTGACTTGAATTAGTTATTGCCATGTGCAGTTTGAATCATGCTGGATGGACACCTATTACTAACGACGGGTCAGCCACTGACCTCTCCATTTCTGTCTTTTGCTCTTAGCTTGGAGGAATTTTTTTTAAATAACGGTGAGAAAACCTGCTCAAACTTTTTTGAAATATTGAAAGTAATGATTCCTGTGTTCCTCTGCTTAGCTGGGCTTGGTAAGACAAGTGCAAACCCTTGCAAAATGGAGATGAGGAAGCCTCTGAGGGAGTATTAGGAAAAATTAATCTTTTACCTTTCATGAGACACTGCTATTTTTGTCCCATTTATAGGCTATGGAAAAACCTCCCAGGCACGGAGTTCTCTCCCACTAAGCACAATTTTTATGTTCTGGACAGAGGAAGAAAAATTTTCATTGGAGACTCCCTCCAGAGTGCAGCTTTCTTTGCAGGCTTGTCAGCTGTCATTGAGGGAAGTATGGGTAATAAGAAAAAGTTACGCTGCTGGGTAAATCGCACGTTTAGGGCTTTATACTCTTGCCTCCATTATACTTACACTTTGCATTTTAGTTGTGAAGCTCTGCAAGCTCCTTGTTCTGACCCCTCAGGCTTGCGTTTATCTACCCACATTAGCATCATGTAGGGCTGGTCCCCCTTTATTGACAAGTCAGGGAATCCCCCTGTTCACAAACCTGACGCAAGTGAGCTCTTTCCTCCCAAGCAGAGGGTCCAGGAATTAGGTCAGTGCATGGCTGTTGCTTCTACTTATTTTGGGGGACAAACCGAAAGCGTAGATACTGCACAGAAAATTACTGTAGTAGAGAACAGGACTGCGGAGGTTTTAAGGAAAATGAGCTGTGTGAGGGGAAGAATGCTGAGTATCTTTTACCTTATTGCGTAAGCAACTCAAAGCTTGTTCCTCAGGATTCTCTAAAAACAGGCTGTAATGACTCCCCGGGCAGGTTTCCAATAGGAGAAGATCGCAGTACTGCTGAACGGTATACACTGTCACTGCTGTAATTGGAGAAACACTGTAATTCCTTTATTAAAACAAAACCAGAAAAACACACTGACAATTGTAAACAAAATAAAATCTAAATCTCTCTGAAACGCCACTGTGCCTGCTGCTCTGTTCACGATGTACTCTGCGGCAGTCCTTTTTTCAGAAGGGATGTGAGGTAGCTGCCCAGTTCTTCATCCTAGAGAGAATAAAGAGAAACAGGATGAAAGCAATCTTCCACTTCACTTTCCATCTGGGGCACTAAATTCGACTCTGGTACCTAGAAATAGACTGAAATAGTTCTTGGACCCAGCAAAATCCAATGTTAGCAGTGTTCAAAAATGGAAACAAACCCAGTTAGCACAAATGCACTTCTGGGTGTTCTTTCAAAATATCGGTGTCAAACTTGCATTTGTCAAAGTAGGTGTCTGGACCTGAGGTGTCTTGAGGAAAATGACCATTTTTCTTGAAAGCAAAGAATAAAGAACCATTGTTCTGGGGTTTTTTTGCTTTGCCCTCAAGAAGGCATTTCCTTGCTGTAAAGAAAGCGTTTAAAAATACAGCCATAGAAAGTACACTTTGAAAGGAAGAAAACATGACAGCTATGTCTAATCTTACACAATTTTGTGTTAGCTAGCTTTCTGCTTCTTGTTTGAAGTTTTACATCTAAGAAATACAATACAAAATACCTCCACACTCTGTACTGCAGTAGTGACACAGCTGAGAGTTTAGAAGTTGGATAGCACAGTGTCCTCAAAAGACAAACATAATTGTAATTAATTGTAACTGTACTAAGTGTAATTACTCCAGATCAGCTGTCTTGAATTCAGTGGTCCCAGAGAAAACTGACTCAGTAAAGCTCCTGTAAAAGGATTTCTACTAAACCTAAAACGGTAAAGAAGAGGGCCGTGACTCACCTCATCTTCTTCCAGTCAAACTACCTCAAAAACAGAGTGATGAAGACTCACCCTTACAATAGCAACCCACATCATAGGACAGTCTTGGACTGTAAGGAGTTAACATCAGAGTTGCTTGAAAAGTAGGTTTTCAAGTATTCCTACCTGGTAAGTCCAGGATACGAGCAGAACTTTGGTTCCTTGATCCTCCGAGTGTGCTGTGGCTTGGATAAGAATGGACTCTACTGTTATAGAACCATCAGGGAGATGCTGCACTGAATAATCTTTCAGGACCCTGGTAAGAGAGAAGATGGTAGGCCATTTATTTTGGATGGGACCTGCATACAAGCCGAAGGGTGGGACACCCCCTCTATCTTTGAATCCCCAACACCAGCATGTCGTTGCTACTTTTAGCTGTGTCTCTGAGCCAGCGCCCACTGCCCAAGGAAGGGAGAATGGGGCTGATTCATAGCTTGCTTATTTTGGTGCTTATATTAATCATGTAGGATTTCCTACAGAATTTCCTGGCTTTCATGATAGCTATAGCTCCAGTCTGAACCCTGTTCATCTGGGCAAAGGACTACTCACAGAATCGACCAGCTGCCTCTAGGAAGAAAATAGCTTTTAAGATACATCTGCTGCTAGCTTTTGAATAGCTTTAAGAGGTGTCTCGACCCTATGCTTGATGATCTCACTCCAAACAATTGTACTAACTTCAGCTAGAAGCAGTAGCGACAGCAGCAAAGCAACAGGAACAAAGATTTCAGGTGGTCTGCTCTACCTTGGCAAAGACCATGAGCTTGTAGGCTGATTACCAACCTCTGCTACTGCAGCGTAACCACTGCTCTGGCTTTGTTAGCTATGCAGACTGAAATCTAGAGCAGTTGTGTGTTCTGGGCTGCAGAGAATTTTCTCTTAATAACTCTCTGGGGCTGGTCTGGAAGGGCAGAAAGGAGAGGGCACTTGTACTACCTACATTAAGAGTTACAAGCTCAAGACCATCCCTAGGGGAGAAAAAAGCAAACACAGCTAGGCACGGACTTACCCTTTGAGATGGTTATATACACGAAGCACTGTCTCATGTTCTTTCCGCGGATCCTGGATGTGAACACGGCAGGTGAAACGCAGTTGATGTTCTGCAAGGCCCAGCTCCTTCAAAGCCTGCTCGGGAGAAACCAGACGGAAGCTCTGCAGAGGAAAAGTACAAATCCACTGTAAGCCATTTCTTTGCACTTTCTGAAGTTTTATTCCTCCTCTGTGGTCAGCTGCACACAGGTGTGTGTTCATCACTGCAGAACTCCAGCAGGTAAGATCATTCCTTTTCAATCTCTGAAATGTCTCGGCACATTTCAGCAAGCAGTAGCAGCTAGGCATGAGCATATGACGGACAGCAAAGGTAGAGGTAAGATGGTGGCAAAGTGTCCACTTAAATTATCATACCAATTCTTTATTTCCCAAAATTAAAGTTGTTCTCTGAATGGAAGTTGGTTTAACCTCTTTATCAGGGGGAATGATTTGTTTAAATAGAAACATCAGGTTACAGAGTAAGAACTCCTCCCTTGGCACCTTTCCATCCTTGTCCAACAAACTGAGGTCTACCAACAACAGGCTGCGTCTTGATTCTTCTGATTTTTACAGGCACAGTGAATCAGAAACACCTTGGATTCACAGGCTGAAAACCACAGCCTCCTCAGAACGGCTGTAGCTGCACCCAGTAGGCTGCAGGGGTCCGGGGCAAAAAACGGACTTTGAGCAGAAGCAGCTCTTCAAATGTATCCATTTCCTGTGACTTCGTCCGTGAGCATTCATGAGACTGACCAGTAGAAATCCTACCTCCACAACACCCTGCTCGTGAACAGCAAGACACTAATGCTGAAATTGTGGGACTAGTGAAGACTATCAGTCAAGACAACTGACAAGCTGAAGAGACTCTGAAGAGTCTGTCTTACAGATTAATCTTCCCAGGTATGCTGTTACTGGGCTCTTTCCAAGAAACTAAGACTGCTTACCTTTATTTTAGTTCCTTGTTCACCCAGACCTCACTTATGAACTGTAACACCACACTCATTCAGAGGATACAAGACAAACATAAGAACTTTTTTACTTACGTTATCCTTCATAATTAATGTGCCATGCATTAGCTTTGGCTTCTTGACATCTGGTAAGAGACCTAAACCAAGGCCAACAGAAGAGAAAGATGATGTGGTTTAATGGTGATGTGCTTATTTTTCACACAAGACAACTGCTATAGGACTTCACAGATTGGATTTCTGAGTCCCTGCTGAGGTTCAGAGACAAAGATTTTACATCTCTGTTCTCCTGTCTGTTAAAGTGCATGGTGCTTAAACCGTTATCGGTGCTCTAGACACGTAAGAAACCATGCTTAGTAATACAGAACAACTGCTCCTCTTCCCGTATTGCTTCCTGATTTGAGAGGTTTTAGATTTTTCTTAAATTTGGTTTATAAAAGTAATTCCAGTTTTCACAGACCTAGCTAGTAAAAGCATTCATGGACTTTGTTTTCACAGTGAATGGGCGATGAGTAGCAAACAAGGTAGAATGTGTGTGTGTGTTTTTAAACGTTGTTGAATATACTTTCACAGCTTAGTAGCCACTACATTTCACAGGAAGCCCTCCCAACCACTAAATGCTCACAAAACCTGTTCTTTTACAGGAAGCGCTGCTCTAAGTCACCATTGCTACAAATGGCCCTGCACCACTGTTTCCACCTTAGGCAAGTACTATACAACACAGTGGCAGGGGCCCAAAAGATTAAATTCTTGGTTGAAAATGTGTCACCTATTGCTGTTTCTCTCTTCAAGAGTCCCAGGGATATGTCCACTGGAATGCTGGGATTGGTGAATATTGTTGTGGTCTCTCCATTTGCAGGCATGTAACAGTTGACATCTGCAAGGTAAACACCCAGTGTCAGAAGGACTGCTGCAGCAGCGTTTCCAATCCCAGACTGTCATTTCACCCACAAGCAGCGTGCAAGCATCCCTAGAGTAGATGGTGCTGTGATTTTGGCAGAAGCCTACTGCAGCTGTTCAGGACGG